CTACAAAATTAAAATCTATAAAAAAAAAAAAAAATCCCAGGCCTGAGCAGGAAAAGCCTATCTGGCCTCTCTAACCCCCAGAAACACACTCGCACACATTTTACCCCCACGCCTCGCTGCCTTCTATGGCCGCATACTTTATCATAAGACCCAGATTTGTACACAGCCCATTCATTGTGTGTCCGGCAATAACCCCCCCCCTCTCTCTGTGCTGATGAGAGGTGGACGGGGTGAGGAGCGTGTGGAGGGGAGAAAGGGGAGAATGTGTTTCGGCCTTGTTGTCCTTTATTTCCTGCTGTGTCAGGCCGGTGGAGAACCTCAGCTTCCCTCTCACTACGACTAAAATCTCCCGAAAGTCTCTTTCCGGGTTAATGCACGGACCTCATGTTCTATATTACTCGCCTCCTTCAGTAAATGGGCGACGTAACCAGAGCGAAACGAAAACGTGACAGCAGAGGCAGAAACAGGGTAAAGTGCATGTCTTAGAAATGTTGAAGTATAGGAGAAGAAATAATGTTTAAATCACTCACAGAAAGCACATCACTTCACCCTTGCCGAGTGCCTCAAGTTAAAAAGGGGCATCACAATCATTTTACACCTATATCAAGTTGAACATGCAAATGGACACGTACACGCTTCCCTTTCACCGCGTCCTCCTAAAGACTCAGGGTTAATGCACGGAGCAAATGCTCTCATGTTCTGTCACACGTCTCTTTCCGTTTCTTCACACTCGCCTCCTGCAGTAAATGGGCGACGTAATGTGGAGTTGCTTTGCCGCTGCAGCAGAGCGAAAAGAAAAAGTGACAGCAGAGGCAGAAACAGGGTAAAGTGCATGTCATGGCAAGAAGGAACCCTCTCCATCACCACGGATGCAGCTCCAGCGATAACGGCATCGCTCCCTTTCCTTCTTGTAAATAAACACTTAATCAATAAGAAGCAGAGCATGGTGTCGTTACTGTTGTCGGTAAATTCATTGTTTAAAGACCAGCTGGTTGCAGCTTTTCAGATTTCATCATCAAATGTAACGCTGATGCCATTATTGCTACGAATAGATTTACATATTATTATAAAGAAGATCATTTTAGAGATTTACCCAAAGGTGCAAAGCAGTAACGTGTGCATGCAAGGCGGTGATAACATTTACATTTGATTGACTTTAAGTTATATTTTACATTCTGAGGCAAATCCAAATAAATGACTAAAAATATCAACAACAGTAAAAATCTTTCACGTGTGAATTTGAAGAAAAAAAGAGTGATGATAATCCAACTACATTTGAAAAGTAATGTCATTATTAAACAAGTAGATATTGTGATGACCAAAAATGTGACTCCTTTCCAAATGTATTTGTATTTAAACCAGCGTTTCCGCCAGGGGGGCGTCTTGCCGCCATTTGTCATTCGTCATTTCAAGCGATAAAAACTCTCGATCTATCATTTTTTTTGGACGCCCTCATTCAGCTCGGGACGCCCTGAACTCGAGCCGAATGAGGGCGTCCAAAATCAATTATAATTCGAGAGAAGATCGAGAGTTTTTAATTGCTTGAAATGACGAAAAGGAAAAAGGACGTCCCTTTGGATTCTGGCGGGATTCTTTTCGCCGCCAGCAAAGCGTGTTCCTGTGACGGTAAGTGTACTGCCGGCGAGCCTCGACGGGGGGTGCTATTGGAGCGGGGGGTGCTATTGGAGCGTGAACTGCGAGCGCCGGAGCCTCGCAGCAGCGAAACTGAGGCTCTGTGGTAAACTGTGGTAACATGAAGAGCCGGCGCTTCTTAGTGAGCCGAGCCAAATGAATTCCCATCACTAATACGTAAAGAGATAGTATCTATAAGGGACGGCTCAATTCAAAACTCAAGTCACGCGACATGACGTCACACCCCCCGCTCTCGGGGTGGACGCCCTCTCAGCCCTGGTCTGGCGGAAACACTGATTTAAAACTAATTAAACAAAAATGAAATTTAAACTCTGGATATTCACAATTACCATTTTAAAAAAGGACCACGATTAATTGAAATCTATAGATGAAGCGACCTTTTGAACATTAAAGCATGTAAATATGTCACAGACAGTAGAGGCACACAAAATTAACCTGAACATTAGTTGTTGTCCTCTTTAGGAGCTCTGCCGCTGTACGAAACCCAAAAGCCGAATGCTCACTGTGACCGTAAGATTCTTAAACTGAGTCGGGTTGTGTTGAGCAGAATAATCCCTCGTGAAGTCAAGTGTTGTTCTCTAAAGTCGGTTCAAGTTAAACCTGGTGCTGTATACGAATCATAGTTATATTTAGCCCACCTTTATTGCTTGTACCTCGGACATCAAAGTCAACACAACAAATAAACAATATGTCAATAGACGGAAAAGGAAACGCTAGTAACATGTCCTGCTTTTCTCCAGTTTTAATTTAATATCTTTGGGGGTCTTAACTGACAAAAACCTTGGACTTTGAGAAACTGTGATAGAGATATTTCCCTCTGTTTTGACTTATAGACCAAACGATAAATACATGTTAGTTGTAGCCCTGACAGTCATCACTGCAGGCTTTCATTTGTGGTGCAAAAAACGCTAGTGTTTGAGCACAGTCCAGTAATGTGGTCAGTAACAGCGTTTCCGCCATTTGAAAAAAAAAATTATTCGAGAGAAGATCGAGAGTTTTTATCGCTTGAAATTACGAAAAGCAAAAAGGGCCAGGACGTCCCTTTGGATTCTGGTGGGATTATTTTCGCCGCCAGCAAAGCGTGTTCTTGTGACGGAAGTGTACTGCCGGCGAGCCTTGATGGGGGGGGCGAGCACCGGAGCCTGCAGCGGCGAAACTGAGGCTCCGTGGTAACATGAAGAGCCGTTTAGGAGCTCTTCTTAGTGAGCCGAGCCAAATGAATTCCCATCACTAATACGTAAAGAGATAGTATCTATAAAAGGGACGGCTCAATTCAAAATTCAAGTCACGTGACGCCGATTTAGACTTATCCCGGGGCTTCTGATTTATTCATGTAGGTGCACAAAGGCACAGACATAGTTTGCGCTGTTCAGCCAATATAACGTTGACGAGGAATGGGAAGTGCAGCATCCATCGCTTTAGGAGTTTGTAGTAGTTTCTATTTCAGGGACAAAGTACTACATCTTGGCCTCTTCCTATTTGACCCGTCTCTCTAAAGTCCTCTAGAAACAAATATATAATGCTTTACTTCTGAGAGAAATGTTGATGCAAGTGGATATCTAACAGTCATGTAAATGTTCAAACCCTATACACCAGGGGTGTCAAACTCAAGGCCCGGGGGCCAAATCCAGACCGCGACTTCATTTTATGAGGCCCCGCAAGAGCTTGCAAAGAATATAACACGGTTACATGCCGATTTACAGAAGCAGGTTGCCCCATAAACTACATGTCCCATAATGCATTTCGTTTTGTGACATGCTCACTGAAGAGACTTGCCATGATTTGCCCTGGACTTCTGCTTTCAGACGTAGTTAATTACTAAGTTATTATCCTATCCAATAATAATCCAATTCAGAGGCAATAATGTAATTTAATACATTATTTTATATATAGATTTATATGTATATAGTTACAACCGGCCCTTTGAGTGCAACCTTTATGCGAATGTGGCCCGCGATGAAATTGAGTTTGACACCCCATACACGATCGTCCATTAATATGCTCCAAGTTACTGACGTTTGCTGCCAGTATACTTCACCACAATATGAAATAGATGGTACATATCAAGCAAATTCAAAAGACACTGGTGCGATCCAGGCTGTGGACCTGCTTGATACAGAAGACTTCAGAGACTGGTTTAAGTTGTGAACAAGCGGTGTGTGACATCCCCCGAGGCGTGTAGGAACATTTCCGTTAGATGAGCATTAGTAAATTAGTAGCGGCGTTTATTCAGGAGCCCGGTTCAGTGTTTTCCATCGCAGAGCTAACTCAGCAGTCGACCCTGACCGGAGCTCAGAGGAGGATTAGCCGGAGTGACAGCGTGCAAATGAGCATTGAACTGAGCTGTGCACATGCGAGAGTCACACTGACCCCTCACACTAACTGTGTTCATTATCACTACTTTGCAATACCCGTGAGATGAGCAAATTACTGAAAAGGCTGCTGATGAAACACCATTTGATTGGTCACATGATATGTAACAATAAATGGATGGAGCTTGTGTTTTCCACAGGAATATCCCTTCAGATGTGGACAAGGCCCCTAGTGGATGCAGGGTTTTAATGATGTCCCAGGTTACTTCACATCATAAAAACATACGTGCATGTTAGTATATGTTTTTAGTAATAATGTTATTTCTAAGACATATCAATTTATTACACCTATACAGAAATACAACTTCTAATAGCATGTATATCAAGGCTAAAGGTGCGATTATACCCTTTATGTGTTGGTCTTTTTAGCTATAGCATGTATGTATAATGATCCTACAGGGGAACCATAGTTTTGTTGTAATGATGTTATATCTGTGTTTATTCTGGTGTATTCTTATTATTTATGTATATATGTTTTATTATTAATGTAATCTTATTTTATTTTATCTTTATTCTTATTTTTCATCTTTTATTAAAAAATAAATGTATTCTTGTTTTATACATGTTTTCTTATTTTAAAAAGGGATTTTTGTATTCTCGTTTAATTCATTCATGTATCATTTTGTACAGTTTTTAGCTGATAGCATGCATCTGTTCCTACAGGGATGTGTAGTTTTTGTTGTGATATATTGCAATCATCCTTGTAAGATGCCCCATTTTGCACTAAAGCCCAAAAAAACATTTACATTTACGTCGCACACATTTCATTTAGCTGGTAAACTGAATATAGATACCGGTATAAAGCAGGTAACGTGACGTCACATACATATAAAATAACACATTAGCTAGCTAAGGGGTAACCGTTACTAGCTAAGCTACCAAACAAGGTCAAATGCTACATGTTAGCTTGGAGTTAGGTGGTATTTTCTTAGGTTTTCAGGTCCAATAAAAGCATTAATTTAGCTATGGTTTTACCCTCTCGCTGATCAGCACCACGTCGGCATCGCTCCAGTGTTTGAACACACACGGCAGGAGCCTCCTTAAGGCGAAGAAGAGACCGGGGAGGAAAACTACGGCGCCACAAGCTAAAACTTGCAACATCCTGCCGTTATATTTCCTCTAATCTGCCCGGAGCCTGGATCTCTCCCTGCGCGAGTTCGCCCCGTTTACACGCGGCGATGAGGCATTTTAATTCGGCCCGTAGGTCGGTCGGTGGTGTGGTGTGTGGGTTTTTTTTTTCACCGGGAACAGTCCACCATCCACACACACTCTCAACACACCACACACTGCTGAGGAGGCTCAGCAGCAGCACCACTGTCGAGCTAACGGGCGAAGGAAAACACTCCGTACTTGTAGGGCGGCTGTCAGAATAAAAGCCCTGACCCGGTGACACTTCCGGTGAGAGGGGTCCGCTTTTATTTTTAAAGGGTGGCTCCATTACTGACGGGTGCAAACAACGTAAAGGTATTTGAAGGTGGGATTTTTTTATTCCTATTTAATTTTGTTTAATAATTAAATTATTTGTTCACTCTTTTTTTATTTCCTATTTCTATTTTTGTATTTCTATATTATTTTTTATTTATTGTTTTATTCTTGTGTTATTCATCCATTCTTATTTTATTTGTGTATTCTTATTTTATTCCTTATTTAATTCTAATTAATGTTTTCAAAGTTTCTTTTCATTATTTTTTTATTTCCTATTTAGTTCTATTTTTTATTATTATTTTGTATTCATTGTTTTATTCTTGTGTTATTGATTAATTCTTATTTAATTTTTTTATTATAATTCATTGTTGTATTCTTGTTTTATTTTGTTATCCTTTTTTTTATTATTCTTGTTTATTATTATTTTTTAATTATTGTCTTTATTCTTAATGTATACATTTTATTTTATTATTTTGGGTGGGGTTAAATCTCAACTGGCTGTCAAAATAAAAGCCCTGACCCGAAGCCGGAATAAATGAGGCAGTTCCGGTGATAGGGAAACATTACACAACGCTTTTATTTTGAAATGGCAGCTCCAACTTTCTTCTTTTTTTTTTATTCTTGTTTCATTCATTTTTATATTCTTGTTTTATTCATTCATTCTTATTTAAAACATTTTTTTAAATGTATTCGTATTTAATTCATATTTAATCCTTCCCTTTTAATTTATCCCTTTTTATTATTATTTGAATTTAAATAGATCATTTGATTCTTATTTAAAAAAAATATTCTTGTGTTATTCATTTATCCTTATGAATAATAACACATACTTTAGTGAGGGGTTGAAACCACCTATAAATACCGGTTTGTGTTATTCTAAGTGATAGTGATTGTAATTATCTTCGCCTAAATATAAACATTATTTTCTATTATCAACTCTATTTGATAGTGTTCATTGTATTGTAACTAACTAACCATTCAATCCTACCACCTGAGGGCAGTGCAGCGTGCACAACACTATTTATGACCAAGGTTGTATGGCTTTATGTGTAGGACAGTGGCTGCCGTTGTCCTGTAAAGGGTTGGGAATGTAACCTGATTACATCTGAGCTGACAGAAAAGGCTCCATTTTAGTTTAATACACACAGTTAAGCTCGCACACACTGTTTAATGAACAGGTTCACCTGCTGAATTAAAAACAGAATAAATGAACCAAAGAAAGTGAAAAACCATAAAGCAAATTCAGGCAGTAGAAGTATAGATTCACACTTAAAGTAATACCATACATAACAGTGTAATAATAGTGATCCTCGATTCACAGTAATCTGATCAGATAGATAGAATGGGATTAAACCCTCTGTAATGGTCTCACATGCAGAGCACACAGTGACATGTGTTCTCTGCTTTTAACCCATCCTAGTACCAGGGGTCTGGCACTAGGAGCAGTGGGCAAGGCAAGGCAAGTTTATTTATATAGCACCTTTCAACACAAGGCAATTCAAGGTGCTTTACAAAAATGAAAGACATTCAGACAAAGGCATTTAAAAACAGTAAAAGATAATAAAAGAAACATTAAAATAAAAAAGACATGAATAAAAAGTTACAGTGCAGTTTAAGATATGAACAGTTCACACAGAAGTTCCACTTTACTGATGAACACAACGGCTCAGTTTCAATTAAGAGCAGCGACAAAAAGAAAAGTCTTCAGCCTGGATTTAAAAGTAGTCAGAGTTGCAGCGGACCTGCAGGTTTCTGGGAGTTTGTGGCAGCTATTGCACAGCGCCCGGGGAGCAATGGGAGTGAGGGGGGAAGGGGGATGTCCGGTGCCTTGCTCAAGGGCACCACGGCAGGGCAGGAGGCAAACTGGGACCTCTCCAAGTAGCAGTCCACACTCCATATTTAGGTCGATCCGGGGACTTGAACCGGAGACCGTACGGCTCCCAGTGCAAGCCCCTACTGCCACTGCCGGATTACATTTATTTTTTATAACTGAAAGGGAATACAGTTACCTGCTTTTTTGTATTCTTATTATTTAATCCCCAAGCCTCATAGCGTACCGTGGGTTTCTGAGCTTCTTTGATAACAACTTAATCAGAATCAAAATTGGTTAAGTTTCACTTCCTCCAAAAACGAATCCAATGCCATCACAGAGCCGGCCACACATTTGATAGGTTATTGTTTCAGGGTGTGTTGATGCCACATCAAAGCTTATCAGTCATTCTGTCAAACTGTGGTTGATTACAGTTCAAAAGAAGGCATACTGCTATTTTAAAGATGTAAATGTTGTGTCTCTTAGAAGCAAAGTATTTAAGAAGTAAAATCCAGAATATTTTAAGAGTTAAGCAACATGGGGTCACGTACCCAACTTTACACCCACGTGAGCCAAAGTTCAGATTGGCTTAACGTCATGCTATTTTTGATTGTTGCCAAGTGTGTTTACACATATATGGGATTTCCCTTGGTGTTTAAAAGAAGATCAAATGTAAGAAAAACTATTATAAAACCTATTTCTTTAAACATAAGATATAGAAAAGTATTTATATGCAATCTGGATGTACCAAAAAACTACATACAATATGACAAAATAAAAGTAATATTATGAAAAGCTGTGCAGATACTAAGAGAGGTATAGCTTGTGTACAAATGTGCAAAATACAAATAAATGTGCCGTTATACCAAAACAAAATGGTATCATACTAGAGAAATAAGAAACTGTAGATATGCAATCATTTATTTCATTCATAATAAATCTAATTCTTAACTGTGAATGGTTTTCATTTATTTAACATTTGACATGTAGCTACTAGTCTGGCCAAACATGATGGCAACCTAAAATCCCTCTCTTTCCGTATCTCAGATAGAAGATATGATTGGAGACGAAACAGCCAATCAGAATGGACCTCCTTGAGTTCTCCGATTGGTTGATTTTGTGGCGCATTGTTATTTATTTTTTTATTGAGTCAGGCACAATGTGTTTACATTTATACAGTCAATATTTTATTTATTTTCCTTTCCCCCCCTCCCGGTCCTAGCTAGTAAATTAAATAACTAACTAAATAAATATATGTATATCTAAAACATCTATGTTTTGGAGAGATATCTATGTATCTCTCCAAAACATATACGAGCAGTCCATTATCAGACAGGCAAACAAAATGGAGTCTGATCCCACCCACGTACTCCACCCAGAATTCCAGCTCCTACCTTCTGGTAGAAGATTCAGGGTTCCCAAGAGCAGGCTGAACCGCTATAAGCACTCATTCCTACCTGTCCATTAAGCTTCTTAACATTCACATGAAATGAAATGTAGTCAAATGTACTTTTTAAATGTTGGCCATGAGGGGTTGTGCAAGAGGTCGCCATTGTCAGTATGTGCGTCTGTGTATTGTGTTTGTTCAAACGGTGTATGACTGATATGTGTATGTCTCTTAATGTCCACTATGCTTGTATATGTACATGTATGTGGAACTGCAGGACGGAGTCCAGAACAAATGTCCTTACGGGGACAATAAAGTATATCGTATCGTATAGGTACAAGTAAAGTAATGTAGAAGATAATATTAAAAGAAAATTAATAGATAAGGAAATAAAGAATAGTAACAGTAATACATGTACCCATATACTCACATTGTCACATATGTATACCCACATATACACATTTAATTTGTTAGCGCTTTTACAAGTGCTCAAAGACGCTTATAAGATGCTTACATACACATACATGTGTGTGTGTACATACCCACACACATGTACACATGCACATACATACACGTAAACAAAGACAGAATAATAAATAAAATAAATAAAAACAGATAAAAAGAGACACAATATAAAACATTTAAATAAACATACACATACATTCGTAGTTCCCCACATTTCTTCTTGATTTTGTGGCACATGTGTAACGCTGTGCCAACTTGAGCGCGCAGGGTCGAGAGGTTGAGCGAGGGAGAGAGTGGGAGAGAGAGGGAGAGAG